AAAGAACAAGTGGTTAATGCTGCCAAATATAAACTCAAAGTGATTCATCAGAAATATGGTTTTAAAGACTACAAACGATTATGAAAATCAACTGCTAGAACAACTTGAGATGAAGTTGAAGTTGGATAAAGATCTAGAATAGAGAGATGGTGGGGATTAGGTACAATACCCCTACGGTATTACAAAGATTTATTGAAACTCCCGTTTTGAAACTTTTGGATTGTTTATTTTGACTTTTGACTTTATTAAGAAGGTTGCTCTATAAGGAAAGAAAGAAGGATAGAGCTATAAAATTGAGCTATTGATTAATATTGGAAATTTATTTGGAACAGTGTTATATTGGAATTATTATATTGAAAGTTGAAGTGTAAAAGTGTATAAGATTTTAGAATAAAGTAACTTTACCATTAAAAAAAAAAAATTTACCCACCAAAAAGAAGAGTTTAAGCTTTTTTTTAGTATCATCACGATGGTAATTTTTTTTATAGTTGATGGTGATCTTTTTAAGGAAAATAAGCTCTTAATGTTGCGATTTTGTTGTGTAGATTGATCCCAGAATGTTGTGCATAGAAAATTTCGCGAATTTTGTGCTGAAATCTTGGGCGCGCCCAATTGCATGGTACAATTTATACACCATGACTAGTAATAGTGCTACTGAAGGACAAGAGACCCTATGCAATAATCCACTGAAGATTATAAACAGAGCTGCTACAGCTCAACACGAATCATAAAACATAAGGGCATATTATATTAAAAAGATTGAATAGTCTTAATGATGAATGGCACAACTAAAAAACAAAATGACCAACTAAATATACAATATTGCGCTTGATACAATTAATTTAAAACACAATGGAACGAAAACAGTTTTTTTTTATGAGGAGGAGCTGACAAGTTCAAGCAATAACCATCCAGAATTTCTCCCATAAATTCTTTGGAGCTTCTTCTTCCCAAACAATGGCATCAATTTCTCTTCTATCAGTATCGATATCAACATCTTCCAACTTACGGAAGATTCTGTCTCTAAACCAAACAAATTGGAAGAATATCCATAATGCACCAAATAAGATAACAGAGATATATGCAGTAAAGAAATCACTAACACTGAAACCTCCAATAAATGCACTAAACCCATTAATAATGATGATAACTGTAATGAAAAAAGCAGCATAATAAGCAGCATAAGGCATGAAATGAGCTTTGAAAGGTAGTTCATCACGAGAAATACCTCTGAATTTCAAAGCTTGCATGAATCTGATATGTGATAAAGAAATGAATAACCAAGCAAATAACCCAGCAACTGCAGTGATATTTAATAACCAATTGAAAACTGTACTTGCACCACTTGAAATAACCATAAAACCCAAGAATCCGAATAATGCAGTGAATAAGACACTAATATATGGGACACCATGTTTTGTAGTCCATGCAAAGCATTTTGGAGCTAAACGATTTTGAGCCAATGCATAAAGAATACGTGAACCGACATAGACGTTTGAATTACCTGCAGAGATAATTGTCAACAAGATGACTGCATTGAAAATATGTGGTAATACTGGGGTACCTGAATTTTGAATTGCAATGATGAAAGGGGAGGATGCAACGTATGAAGAATCTGAATTCAATTTTGGATCATCAAATGGAACCAACATACCAACAAAGAATAAAGACAAGATATAAAAGATCAAAATTCTGAAAAAAACGGTATTAATAGCTTTTGGAACACTCTTTCTTGGATTTTTAGATTCACCTGCAGTGATACCTGTAAGTTCAGTACCTTGATAAGTGAAGGCAGCATTAACTAAAGAGGAAACCCAACCAAGGAATCTACCTTTTGCAGTGCCTTCAAATAAATAACCTGGACCCCAAGCACCTGGATGTCTCCAATATCTAAATCCAACAGGCCCAGTCACACCAGCACCACAAACCATAATGAATGCATAAATGATGAATCCAATAATGGCGATGATCTTGATTGAAGCGACCCAAAATTCAACTTCACCATAAAATTTAACAGGGAATAAATTCATAGAGAATAAGATAACCCAGAATATGGCAATCCATGCAGCTAATGGGACTGAAAAAGTCCAATATTCAATGATTTGACCAACGACTGATAATTCCAAGGCGAATGTGATTGCCCATGAGAACCAATACATGTAACCATTAGTGACCTATGATGTGTTAGTAGAAAGTTCTAATAATTTCTCAAGGGGCTATACTTACACCTAATGCATTTGATAAAAATCTTTGGGAAAAAACGGTAAAAGAACTTGAGATTGGGATAAAAGTGGCCATTTCACCAAGGGATTGAGTCACTGAATAAGCTATAGTAGCCATGAATAAATAAGCAATCAAGGCATTAACAGGACCAGCGTTTTTCAAAGGTGTTGAGATACCAATGAATAAACCTGTACCTATAGTACCACCAAGGGCAATCATTGTAACATGACGTCTTTTCAAAGCTCTTTTAACTTCAGTATCTTTAACATGACCAGTTTCGATTTCATGTTCAGAGATTGGACTATCTTCATGATCAAAGCTTTTAGTCTTGTTGATTATATTACTATCTTGCTTTGTTGAGGAACCTCCTTCATAATCATGAAGTTCATATTCAGTAGATTTACTCATTTTTGGAGGAATATAGCTGTTCACAAGTGGTTTGTAGTTATGTCGCATGGGAAGGGAATTGTGGATGGTTTTATAATGATGATTGTCGAGACGTATATTATTTGAATTGACTTGATCATGCTGCTTCTGATTTCTTATCAGTTGAAAATTTTATGTTCTTGACCGGAGACGTGCCTTTTCTTTTGGAGATGATCCAGCAGACAGCGAAAACCTTAAAAAGCGCCAAAAAGATGGATTTTTCAGATGAGATCATGGAGTAGTACATGGTTAAGATGGTTACAACTTTGTTTTATTCAATAACTACATTGCTGATTGTTTGTAGAGTGCATCTGTGATCTCCAGATAAGGATAATAATAATTGCCCACAGACTTGCTTAGCGTAGCGTGCGAGCTCTCTGCCAAAATTTCATCTCTTTGGAGCCTATGCTGCTTTTCCTTTCAAAAAAAATTGGTGGTGTGCCGTGTAACGGTGAATTTCTTTTGCGAATATTAATAAATTTTTTTCCAATTGCAAGAGTTTTGGCTGTAATTGTGAATTGAGTTGACTTATCTATTGTACTCTCTTATCAGATAAATAACACTACATATTGTACTCAAATTGACGTTTCTCCGACTCATGCCCAAAAACTTTCAAGTCTTCAAGTCCATTTTCCAAAATTTTGCGTTTGTGCCATTTGAAAATTTTCCTTCGCGAAAAAATGCCGTGGAGAAAAAAATGAAAAGGGGACTCACAAGCTCTGACATTGTGTATCGTGACAATAACAAGTGTAATAAGGAATCTTTTGATTAAGTGCATGCAGAGAATTTGAAGCGAGATCATATAAGAGCTGAATGGATCGGCGTTGATTCAGACCTTACAGATCTGAGAAATCAGGACTCTCAGGATCCAGTTGTGTGATTGAAACTGAAACTGAAACCTATTAATAAGATAAGCTGATACAGAACATTCTCAAAAACTTTATACATTGAAACTTTTTAAACACTAGATCACATTATTAATGACAATATTAAAATAAATAAATTATGCAAAGATAGATGTCCTATCTAAAACCAAAAAACCAAAACAACACCTTCATTCATGCTACAGCCACCCAAAATTTCTCCCACAAATTCTTTGGAGCATCATCTTCCCAAACAATAGCATCAATCTCTCTTCTATCAGTATCAATGTCAACATCTTCTAATTTGACAAATAATCTACCTCTGAAATAAACAAATTGGAAAAATAACCACAATACTGCAAACAAAATAACTGAAATATAAGCAGTAAAGAATGAAGTAACATTAAACCCACCAACAAATGCATCAAACCCATTAATGAAAATAATCACAATGATGAAAAAAGTTGCATAATAAGCACCCCAAGGCATGAAGTGAGCTTTAAAAGGTAATTCATCACGAGAAATACCTCTAAATTTCAAAGCTTGCATAAATCTAATATGAGAAACTGAAATGAATAACCAAGCAAATAAACCTGCAATAGCTGTAATGTTTAATAACCAGTTGAAAACGGTTGTTGCACCTTTAGAGACAACCATAAACCCTAATAAACCAAACAATGCGGTGAATAATACACTCATGTATGGAACACCATGTTTTGTAGTCCATGCAAAGCATTTTGGAGCCAATCCATTTTGTGCTAATGAGTAGAAAATACGTGAACCGATATAAACATTTGAATTACCAGCTGAAATAATTGTTAATAGGATAACGGCATTGAAAATATGTGGTAATACCGGTGTACCTGAATTTTGAATTGCAATGATGAATGGAGAAGATGAAGCATATGAAGAAGTTGAATTTAATTTTGGATCATCAAATGGAACTAATAATCCAATAAAGAATAATGACAAGATGTAGAAAAACATAATTCTGAAAAACACTTTATTAATAGCTTTTGGCACTGTCTTTCTTGGATTTTTAGATTCACCCGAGGCAACACCAACTAATTCAGTACCTTGGAATGTAAAAGCTGCATTAACTAAAGAGGAAACCCAACCCAAAAATTTCCCCTTTGATGTACCTTCAAAGATATAACCTGGACCCCAAGGACCTGGATTTCTCCAATATCTAAACCCAACAGGACCAGTTATACCAGCACCACAAACCATTATAAAAGAATAGATGATGAACCCAACAATGGCAATGATCTTGATTGAAGCGACCCAAAATTCAATCTCACCATAAAATTTAACAGGAATCATATTCATTGAAGTTAGAATAACGAAAAAAATACCAATCCAAGCAGCTAATGGTACTGAAAAAGTCCAATATTCAATAATTTGACCCACGATTGATAATTCTAGCGCGAATGTGATACACCATGTAAACCAATACATATAACCATTTGCAACACCAATAGCTGGTGATAAAAATCTTTTAGAAAAAACGGTAAAAGAACTTGAAACTGGAATGAAAGTGGCCATTTCACCAAGGGATTGAGTCACTGAATAAGCTATAGTGGCCATGAATAAATAGGCAATCAATGCATTAACAGGACCAGCGTTTTTCAAAGGAGTTGAAATACCAATAAATAACCCAGTACCAATAGTACCACCAAGGGCAATCATTGAAATATGACGAGGTTTTAAAGCTCTTTTAACCTGGGTCTCTTTCACTTCAGTTTCTTGATCAGAACCAGGTATGTCATCTGTTATGTTGCTTCCATTTTTATTTAGGATGTTTGATGAATTATCTTGTTTTGAAGAACCTGCTTCAATATCATGAAGTTCAAAATTTGGTGATTCTTTACTCATAGTAACTAATTAACAAGTTTACCAACTAATCAAACTTGATAGATTGATCAATATCAAGGGAATTGGATGAGTATTAATACAAAATTTTCCCTCTATCACTCATCTCCAAAATACAACTCATCTATTGGCAAAAGATGAAAAAATTGCACATACATCATCAATCGCTGTTGTGCGCGCCGTGCTGGCTGCACCAAACCATAAACTGATGAGTTGTTTAATTACAAGCTACAATTTCAACCTATTCAGCATTGATTCAAAGAGGTATTACGTTCCATATCAGTTATCTTATCATGGGGTAGTTTCTGATCTGCTTTCCTCTTTAAAACGGTGGTTTTGGCGTGGTTGTGTTCGGCGTGGTGCTGTTGAAGGATTTGTTTCCTAAGTACTAGTATTAGCGTGCGAGGGTTCTCTAAGTACTGGCATCAGCGAAAAAGAGACTGAGTGTGAGATTCAAGCCAGAGGAGCTGGGACTTTGCCTAGTTCTAAGCGAAGAGAGTTTCGTTTATAGTCAACCTGGTATTCTCCAAATGCTACAGAGGTATTAATCCTACTTTTGATGAAGTTGGTGATGGTGATGATGGGAAACAGTCACAATTCCTACTAGAATCTCCAAATTCTACAAGTCACAGCACTTCAACAAAAGCTACAAGAGTCAGAAGACCCTCTCTCCATCACTTGTAGCTTGAAGAGCAGACAACTTTGAAGGCCGTGCACTCATAGAAGCGGCACTAGAGTTTAGTCTCTGGAAGTGTACCAAAACCACCACCAATTTCAACGGCATAAACAAAGAGATTCAAAGATAGCCTAAATAATCATAGATAACAGATACAACCATTTCTTATAAAAGCAGCCATTTCTATCAAACACTCTTCCTTGTATGAGAATATTAATTCTTTAAAAGACCCCTGAACTTCGAAACGAATTTTTTTTCCAACGGCCGATGAGAAAAAGAAACGCCGAAAAAAGTGACATAAAGTTGAAAACTGGCTATTTACCCGGGTATTGCACCATGAAGTAGGAGGCCTACACAAGTTTAACTAGGGTGGATATTAATGGACAAGTCTATGATTGGAATAGTCCTTCAATAGTCCTTTCTTTATGAGTTTCCAGGTCGTTTTTGCAGGTCTTTAAGCATAAAGTACTGGCTGGTTATGTTCGCTTGGTGTCTCGGGGAGCCGTTTATAGGAAAAATTTCTTTTTGGGATGGCACATTTTCGCTGAAGAATTGGAAATGGGTATAAACTTGAGTGAAGAGTCAGTCAAGATGAAGGTAGAGTGGATTCCTAGTGAAGATTGAATGGGCTCCATGATCTAATCTCTCTTTTCTAGCCCAATGCTTTCAGGTTGTCCAAATTGAGTTTGGTACTGGTCAAGAGAACATATAGCCCATAATAGTCTCGTGAAATAGGTCTCATCAAGCATTAAACTACATCACAAGATTTCTTTCTTTTCGCACCTTCCTTTTCCATTTTATAAAATTTTTACTTCATCGAGTCATCATCAACATATAAAACTAAACTGTTATCTACAAACAGTACACAATTAGATAGATCTTCATTTACATCAACAATGAAATCAGAAAACTATCTAGAGAAATCGATTCCTTCAAAAGAATCAACTCTAGAAATACAAGAAAGTGCACCTCGTTCAAACGATGATATAATATCAAACTCATCACCAAAAGAAAAATACAACACTCATGATATAGAACATGGCCATGTTAAAGAAACTCAAGTTAAAAGAGCCTTGAAACCTCGTCATGTCTCAATGATTGCCCTTGGTGGTACCATTGGTACTGGGTTATTTGTCGGTATTGGAACTCCACTAAGTTTAGCTGGTCCTGTTAATGCCCTTATTGCATATCTATTCATGGGTAGTATTGTGTATTTAGTTACTCAATCCCTTGGTGAAATGTGTACATTCATCCCAGTGACTTCTGCATTCACAGTGTTCAATGCAAGATTCTTATCTCCTGCTCTTGGTGTTGCTAATGGTTATATGTATTGGTTTAATTGGGCTACAACTTTTGCTGTGGAGATTTCTGTCGTGGGTCAAGTTATTGAATATTGGACAGATGCTGTACCATTGGGTGCTTGGATTGCAATCTGTTGGTTTATAATGACCGTGGCAAATTTCTTCCCTGTTAAATTTTATGGTGAAATTGAATTTTGGGTTTCATTTGTTAAAGTTGTTGCCATTGTTGGGTTTATCTTGTATTCATTCATAATGGTTTGTGGTGCTGGTGATCAAGGTCCTGTTGGGTTTAGATATTGGAGAAATCCAGGTCCTTGGGGTCCAGGTCATTTAGTTGAAAGTGTTCCAACTGGTCGTTTCCTTGGTTGGGTTTCTTCATTGATTAATGCTGCTTTCACTTATCAAGGTACTGAATTAGTGGCAATCTCAGCTGGAGAATCTAAAAACCCAAGAAAAACAGTCCCAAGAGCTATTAATAAAGTTTTCTTTAGAATTTTGTTCTTTTACATCTTGTCTTTATTCTTTGTTGGTTTATTAGTTCCATTCAATGAACCACGTTTAAATTCAACTAAAGCTGTTATTTCATCATCTCCATTCATCATTGCCATTGAAAACTCTGGTACTCCAATCCTAAATCATATTTTCAATGCAGTCATTGTGATCACTGTTATGTCTGCTGCCAATTCAAATGTTTATGTTGGGTCCCGTATCTTGTATGGGTTGGGTATTTCAGGAAATGCTCCAAAACAATTCACTTATGTTACAAAGCAAGGTGTCCCATATTTAGGTGTCATTTGTACTTCATTGATGGGGTTCTTAGCATTCATGGTTTTATCAGATAGTGCAGCTGTTGGGTTCAATTGGTTGGTTAACATCACCACCGTTGCAGGTTTGTTTGCTTGGTTATTCATCTCTATCTGTCATATTAGATTTATGCAATGTTTGAAAAGCCGTGGTATTTCTCGTGATGAATTACCTTTCAAAGCCCATTTCATGCCTTGGGGTGCTTATTATGCTGCGTTCTTTGTCTTTATCATCATTTTCATCCAAGGTTATGCTGCATTCTTTAGCTTTACCGCTACTAAATTCTTTACCGCCTATGTTTCAGTTATAATTATGGCTGTCTTGTGGATTGGTTGTCAAATCTTTTATAGAGGTCCTTTATTTCTAAGTCTTGATGATATTGATATCGATACTGACAGAAGAGAAATCGATGCTATTGTTTGGGAAGATGATGCTCCAAAAAACATTTGGGAGAAATTTTGGGCTGCTGTTGCATAAAGCAGAAAAAAAAAGTTATTTTTTTGATGTTGTTTGTATAAATACTTTTGCATAGAACTAATGAATATCATGAGTTTAGAATTACTTTGTAGGGGGGCTACAGCCTGTATATAAATCGTCTTTATATTCATTAATTCAAGTAGTATATATAAGATTTGTTATTCATCAACTTTGGTATCTTCTTGTAAATTCTCTTCAGGTTCCTCTTTTATATCAGGAGTTGAAACACCACTATCCAATTCAGCACTTGATAAATTCTCAGCAGCACTTTGTTTCCTTTTCAGTCTCTGTTGTTGTCTAAGTAATTGAACACGAGATAATCCACTATCAGGAGTTGGCGTAGCACCACCACCTCTTAATTCTTGTAACAAGTTTCTTGCTCTTGAACCAACATCATCATCGTCATCTTCATGAGTTTCAGCCTTTTCATTTTCATTCATCGAAGAACCAGTCTTCTGTGGTGAAACAACTTTTGATGGGGATTGATCTCTTGAATCTAATTCATTGTCATCATCTTCTTCATCACTATCAGTTACCTTCTTATGTTGTAACAAATTCTTACGAGCCAATGCTCTTTTTCTTGCTGATGACGCTTGTCCCTTTGATGGTCCAGCAGCTTTCAATTTCTCCAATAATGAATCCATCACATTTTCTCCACCATCATCACCTTGTTGTGTAGTTGGAGTTCCAGAAACACTTCTCTTTGGAGTTTCCATCATCTTCTTTCTTTGTTCATAAGCTCTTTCTTCTTCTTCTCTTGCCAAATTCTCCCTACGTGCCTTTTTATAATCATTCATAAAATCAACAAACTTTCTGAAAAATGAATTTTTGGAAAATGAATCTGTTGGATCTTCACCAAAATATCTCATCAACTTTTCAAATTCAATAATTGTAAGCTTTGTTTGATCGTTCAACAATTCACCTTTACGTCTTGCCTCTGGTAAAACTGGTAACACTTTTGTCAACACTTTATCTCTTGGGTGGAATTTAGAAGAATCACTCAAATTACCAATATCAATTGAAGTTTCAACATTTTTGATACTTTGTGTGAAATCTTTTGAATCATTAGCCAATTGTTCAACAGAAACTTTAGCAACATCATAACAATTACTTAATTCTTCCAGGAATTTTTCCTCATCAGGATATGCTTTTCTAACAACTTTTTCAACATAATGCAAAAATGTAATACTATTTTTATCATCCTTCATGAATGTAAGCCTTTGTAGTGTACTTAGCTTGAAACCTTGAGCTTGCTTTGAAGTATCATTCATATAATTACCAACAGCTAAAATGATATCGAAAACTTTTCTCAAATGCTGAGAATTTTGAATATGATCAGTAGCTTCATCAATCAATCTCAATTTATGAACCAAATCATTATATTCTTTTTCGTATGAAGTGATAACTCTGATAGCTCTCATTCTTGATGGCCAATAGTCTTGTAGGTTGTAAAATAATTCCAAATAGATTCTATCAGATCTATGTAATTCATTTGGATCCTTTTCTGGTGATTTTTCAAATCCTTTAGCCCAAATAGTTCTATAAGGTTCCAAATTTCTGGCAAGACCATTTGGAATTTCTGACAATTCTTGTTTGCTTAAAAATTCAATAACATTTGGTAATTCTAAAACTGATTTATCACATCTTAAAACCTTGTTAACCAACTGTTCATCACTTAACGAAGAAAACATATGCAAATTGATGGAAAATTGTTGGGAAACATCTCTGGCCAAAAAAGTGAGTTTTTCAGCTTCACCTTGCTTCTTTGTAGCCAGTTTTTTGATTTCTTTGGCAGCAAAAATGTTTTCAAGTTCATCAAAGATACCTTTATCCAGTAAATCAGATGCCACTTTTTCAGCTGCTGCATCTTCCCAAAATGAATTTTCAGTTGTTTCAACTTTTTCCCAATGTAATTGTTTAAGCTTCTTCTTTGGTCTTGGATATCTTTCAAACAAGCTTGGTGATTGAGGTAATAATGGACTTGGAATTGGAGTTCTCGACTTTGGCATTGGGAAAGGTGGTGGTGGAGGTGGTGGCGAGGGTCCTTTTGACCCTGGCAGCGGTGGAGCAGGAGGTGGTGGTGCACTGTTTGAGTTTCCAAATAGTAGTGGAGGAGGTGCTTGTGGTATTGGTGCAGATGTAGGCCCACCTAACTGTGGAGGCAATGGAGGTGGAGCAGGTGCAGGTGCACCTCCACTTAGTGATGGAGGCATTGGAGGAGGTGGAGGTGGTGGTGTAGGAGATGGTGACTTGAATGGCTCATTGAGAGGCTTAGGTGGTGGAGCTTCAGCTTGGTTTTCAAAACCTGGTTCTGCATCTGGTATGGCATCTTTTTTACCAACAGTTGACGTGAGTTCTTTGAGAAATGATGGTTCAAACCCTTTACTGCTTCTAACTTTATCAGCAACTGATGATCTATAGGAATAATCAGGTTTCCCTTCAGGTTGTTTTTGACCTCTCATGTATTTAGCCTCGAGGCTTTCCAAAAAGGATTTAGAAGGAACTTGATCTTGAATCAACAACTCATCTTGTAACTTTTCACTCAATCTTTCAATTTCAGCCAACTCATCATGTAGTTTATCATTGCTCTTTGGATCCAATGAGCGATAACCTTCACCAGCCATTGATTCACTTGGTGAAAAATCAATATTCAAATTCTTGAATCTAGATTGTAACTCCTTCAATCTATCCATAGCCATCAACTTCTGTTTATTCATCAATTCTTTTTGTTTAGCATCAGTGTCAAACTTAAGAATGTCATTAGATTGATTTTGTAACGTATCCAATTTACGTCGTAAAGATTCCAACTTAGCTAGATCGTCTTCTTTAGAAGGCTTTTCAGGGGAAGATTGCACAGATGGTGAGACAATTGTATCCCTCTTCTTTTCAACAAAGTTGGTCATTTCTAATTCTCTAGCTTGTTGTTCAATATCCTCCATTTGATCTCTTAAAGCTCTTAATCTTCCATTTGGTTCAACAGAACTACCATATTTCTTATTATCAAGTCTATATTGATTTTTCTTTCTTGATAATTGGTTCTTTAGTTTATCAACAAGTTGGGTCTTTGGAAGAGATCCAGCACCTTCATTAGCATTGTTCAATAAGATTAACATTTCTCTCATCTCCAACTCTTGTTCGTGTTTTTCCAAGATATGTTTCCTTTTGAGCTCTTCTAATTCAGTGGATAAATTTTCATTCATCTTTCTTTGTCTCAGCAAAACGATTTCTTGTTCTTTGATTTCATTTGTAAGACGTGTCATCATACCATCAGAACCTAATGAAATTTGTCTCGCTAGTTCATCTCTTTCAGCAACTGCTTCCTCTGCTCTTTTAGTGGCTTCCCTAGACTCCAATATAGCTCGTCTAGCAACTTCATCAGTTTGTAAACCATCATATAATCTATGAATAGCAACGTTCAATGCAGCATCCTCATTAGAGCTTGCTCCCATGGTGATATTGGAGATCAATCCATCAATCAATCTATAAGACCTTATGGTATCAGTACTGCTAGGGGATTTAGATGAGTCTGATTGATTCAAAAACAAGTGTTGAATTGCTGATAGGAAATAACTCTCAGCTTCAGAATGCTGAATTTTACCCCAAATATTTTGAACTAATGATATAGGATCATTCAAGTCAACATCCTCACCAATTCTTTCTGATGTCAAAAGTGCTTCATAATCTTCGGCAGCAGCATCTTCAAATTCTCGTATCTTATCATTAATCAATTCACTATGCAATTTATGAAACTTTTTGAATATCTTTTGTAACCCTCCAGATTTCAATTGAGCTCTGATATGAGTTCTGGTTTTGAAATCAGCACCACCTTCAGCTATAGAATTAACAAGCACCATGGTGGCTAAAGCATAATCAACAAGTTGACTTTCACCACCTGCACCACTAGATTTCAATTCATCACTAGCACCAACCATGGAACCCATTTTACCTCTTCCTTCTAATGTCTGTTCCACAACTCTCAACCATTGCTCAAATCTTTTCAAACCAGATGATCCAGGTTGGGAAATGATGGAGTTTCTTTTATCTAAGGATTTAGCCTGAAAATGGATATTATCAGGGGGTATAGAGTTCAAAGCTCTCAACACTTGATCATAACCTTCAGGAGATCTAAAATGTGCTAAGAAACTTAACATATCCGTGACAAGTCTTCTAGTTGCTAATTTAGTAGAGATCAAAGCTCCCGTTATAGCTGGAACACATATCTTGGAATCAAGTGCATAATCGGCACCTCTTTGATTATTAATAATTGTTCTTAAACATCTGATGATTGAAATCTCTTTCTCCAAAAACTCATCATTCAGCAAGTCAGTAGTGGACCTTGTATGAAGCTGTTGTAATACCGTAGCCAATGCAACAGGACCTTGAGCATCAATAAAGTCTCTAACCCAGTCCACAGGCTCCGTACGTAAACTAACCCATAAATTACCTAGTTGTCTAACAGAAATTGATTTATCCATCAACAGCCTAACATAAGTTTCTGGTGTAGCTGGATTTTCACCACCTTTCTTTGAGCGTTCTTGTTTTTTTCTTTCAGATAAAGCATCTTGATAAATCAACATCCATTTTTTGGAAACAGGATACTCCTTCATTTGCTTCTTCGCAGCATCTGGTAAACTTTTGAAATCACGTTTTGTCATTAACTCATTAAACATTTCATCAATTTCCCAGCTCTCTTTGGGTTGTTCCAAAACAAAATCATTACCGACACCGGTTGATGCAGACGTACTTGACATTACTGAATTATTGGTATGTATTCTTTGCAAAGCTGACTTCTTTGGTGTGGTATATGATCTATAATCGTCATTTGCAGATGTGTTTGTAGTCCAAGTTGATGAACGACGGGAATGTTGAGGTGATGGAGGTGAAGTATCGTAGGTTGAATGGTTCGAATTGTTCAAAGTTGTTGCTTTACTCAAGGGGAGTGAATTTTGTGATTGATTTGAATATGAAGAGCTTATACTGGGCTGCCTTTTCTTATAAGGTGAATCAGTATGCTGAAACCCATCGTGACGCCCTGGGGGTTGTTGTTGTTGTAGTTGTGGATTCGAAATGTTTAAACTTGAAACATTAGTTGGCTCTTCAGACTTGTTGTTCTTTGAGAATTTCCTGATATTGGATAACAGCGACCCTGAATTCGACTTCTGGTGATCTGTGGCATTTGATCTCACTGAAGACTGCCTCGAGGCCTCTTGGTCTGATCTTTTCTTCATCTTTGTTGTATATAATGTTGGAGGCTGGTTATGATCTTGACAGTTTTGGAGATTTTACAAGAGCACCAGCTAACAAAAGCACATCCAAACCCTTACTCCAGGTATCAATTCTCAGCACAGTAGCAAGCAGTGAGTCTCAAAAGGTATACCGTCAATAATAACAGTTGGGTAATGTAAGTGGATGCCAATGTCTCAATTGTTGAATTCTTTGATTCTTGAAATGATCTATTTTCATTTTGCAAAGAGAAAAAAAAAACAAAAAAAAACAAATCGCAGAATGCATTCGCGCAATCGCGAATATGATGAAACTTCGCGAATGGTTTTTTTTATTAATTTCTGTTTTGATTTGAAATTTGGGCGTGTTTGAGGTTTCGTTTGGGAAAACAATTGGGCTTTTTCCAATTTGAGTGCATTGGTTGATATAGAATCAGTTCATTGATTGTCGCTAGACCAATATGAGTGAATCTGTTGCCGATGAGGAATCAAAGAGAGTGTCGCTCCAAGTCACCTCCTTATCTACACAGCTTATAGAATTGGTTGAGAAGCAATCTAAGTTAGAGGAACAATTGTTTCATCAAAAGAGAGAGAATGAACAACTAAAGAAGCAAAACCAAGAACTTGTTGCTTTGCAAGAAAATTACAAATCATTAAAGTCTGAACATGATGAACTGTCAAAGTCTAACCATACTTTGGAGCAGAAACTACAGAACGAGACCAAAGAAAAGGACTTAGCAAAGGAAAATGTATCCAAATTACAATCTGAAGTTGAAGATCTATCAGAGTCCTTATTTGAAGAAGCAAATAAGATGGTATCAAAAGCTAGACAAGAAGCTTACAGTTTTGAAAAACGTAACGAGGGGTTGGTTTCTCAATTGAAGGAGAAAGATATGCTTCTTGAGAACTTACAAACACAACTACGTGAACTAAAAAATGTTATACAAGAGAAAGATGATCAATCTATTCAAGATTCCGCAAGAAATTCGATTGATGAACCAAGATCCGGAAATAAATCTGAGGATTCACCAGCTACTTTCCCTCCTCAAATCATCTATAGTCCAACTATAAACTCCATAAGGTTTGACTTGAAATTATTCAACGATTTCAATAGATTCATCTCAGATTTGAAATATATTGAAGTGATCAGAGATACTAACACAAAATTCATCAAAAGGTTAGTTGCGGATGACGTTGAACCAGCATTGAGAATAGATTTAGCAAACGGTATTGGGTGGTTAAGCAAACGTTCATTAATGGGTGCATTCATTGATGGACGTGTCATTATTGAGCCTGTATCGGGCATAAATGAAACCTATAGAATAAACTTCAAGAATAACAAAACTCAGGAGTCTGATATCAAATCTAACCTATACTCTTATCCTGCCCATAGTCCTCCTGTTGCAATTGATCAACCATGTGCCATTTGTGGAGAGGATAGAAACGATATTTTGGAGCATTCACGTTTATATATTTTAAAAGTTCATGCATTAAAATCTAAAGAAGAATCATTATCTGCATCCAGTGGATCAACACCGTCATCGCCAATAATAGCCCATCAATATCCCCTATGTTCATATTGTCTGTTTAGAGTTAGAAGTGCATGTGATTTATTTGCATTTTTACGTTCTTTGAAAACAAACGTTTGGAAATTAGATTCAAATACATCAATAAGGAAAGCATGGTTAGAATTGTCAAGACTAAGATCCAAATTGTTTTGGTCAAAAGTTGGTATATGGGATTTGGAATCAAATATCCATCAAACTAAAATTTACCCAGGAACCGATGATTTGGTCTATAAGGCATTAGAAAACCTACATTCACCAAAGGCTACAACTGCTAATACTGTTGGTGCTAGTACATTGAACGACTCTTTCAATTTGGATGAACCTAAGTCCTTATCAACAACTTATAAAGCATCACCATTGATAAATGAAGTTAGTACTGGTAGTATAGGCTCTGATGAAAGCCCGGAAAATCCAGTGGTTTTGAAAGAAAATGGTGAATCACAAAAAACCAAAACAGCTGCAGTTACACCAAAAGAGACCAAGTCCGAACAAGAGCCAAAACAAGATGAGGAAGATGACAACATAACGAATGATATCTTGAATGATTATTCACAAGACGAAGACGAAGAAGAATCACCAGTGGAGAAGACGAATAAGGGGTTAATGATCCAAACGGATCGTCCTCAAGATGCATTATTAGATTCTGAAGAAAATACACCAATCGTAGGGAACATTAATAAATTCAATGATTTGAAAACACCAACAAATACACATGGTGGGTTTGACTTTGTTCCTGGTTCAGAAAATTCAAAACCTGATAAAGATGAGGAACAAGAGAAACCTGACGGGACCCCAGATGAAACTGATGATGAGTTTGTTGATGCATAATGTTACCAAATATACAACATAAAGAAGAGCTAATTTGTAGGTTCTACAATCCATGAGTTCTTTAACATTCATGTACATCTAAATAATCACCAGCCATTAAAATAAAATCCACTTCACTCCTTCATTTCAAATAATCTATCCTCCATAACACTCAAGACATTACTAAACTGTCCCAACAACTCAATCATTTGATTGTTAATCTTTTCCTTTGTTGAGTCTGAATCAATGAACAAGGAAACATCCAAATTAGGCATCGATATCCCATTCTCAAAATTGTTTTGAATAGTGGTTGTAGTGGTTGATCCTGAATATTCATGAGACGAATTTGATGATAGTGAGGAAGTTGTTCTTGTCCCATTCATCAAGAATGGTAACTGAGGTGGTTGGGATTGTTGTGTTAGTGTCATTTTCCGCTTTGGTGCTATTGAAGTTGATGATGATGATTGTGCTGTTGATGGAATTGGTGGCGGTTTTTCAGTTAATGGTGTCATTGTCATTGGCATATTTGAGACATTTACACCAAATTGATTAATGTTTTCATCATTTGAAGATTGTTCATCCAAATTGGAATTATTGTTTAATAATTTGGGGAATTGTAATGACGTTGGCGTTGGCATTTGTAGTCTTAGGTTCTGATGATTTCTCTTGATATTTAATGGTTGTTGTTGTTTTGTTTGTTGAGAAGTTGTTGATGGAATTGACGAAGTGCTTGCATTCATAGGTTGTAATAATGGGGATTGGTTATTTGGAGATTGAATAGCCTTCATTGTTGGTTTACTAGGTGATGAAGTGATAATATTCAGTTTTGATGGTGAATTTACCTGACTTGTAAGTTCTCTTTTAGGTGAAGGTGTACCTCTTGGGATATTTGGTGGTAATGAATTAGGTATTTGTTGTGAGGATTGCTGTTGTTGGGATGGTTGAGCTGGTGGAGCTTGTTGAGGAATTGATGAAGCTGCTGTAGTTAATGTTGGTCTTCTTTGTAACGTTGGATCCAATGTTTTTCTTGTCTCTAAATTACCAGCCGCAGATTGTGAATGCAACAAAGTATTTGCTCTTGACCTTGGTTTATTAAACTCTTGTTGTTGTAATGGAGGTTGAGTTGGAGGAGCAGATGCTAATGAAGAAGATTGCATATCTTCAATATTTGGAATTTCAATTTCCACTATTGGTGTAGAAACCCTTGTATTATGATTTGTTGTTGTATTTGATAAATTGTGTAACCCGATTGCAGATGAGATTTTGGGTATTTCATAATGTGTTGGCTCTTCTGGAATATTGTTATGATGCTGTTCTTCTTCTTCCTCTGTACTTTCTTCAAATAGATTTAATAAAGATTTTGGTGCTTCTTTTCTATTCATTGTACTGTTAGCTTTCAAAGTAGATCCAACATTAAAGCTAACACCGTTATTGACGGTGTTTGTCTTGTAGGTGACATTATCATTTGTTTGATGGCTGCTTGTATGATGTATTGGATTATATCTTTGATAACCAGTCATGAAAACATCATCACCATCATCATAATTATCATTAGTTGTGAAATTAAAATCAGAATCACTTTCATTTAGTTGGATATTATCTAAATTGATGTCATTTTCCAAAATATATTCATTACTGCTTAAAGAATCAAAATCCCATTTGACTTCAATTTCGTTTTCTTCAACCTCGTCTTCAACATTCATCAATATACTTTCTCTTGAGGATTTTTTTTCTCTCCATAATAAATATCTTGAAATCAATTCTTTCAAAATACTTGTTGATGAATTTTTATGAAACTTGATGAATTTCGATTTTAATAAATCTTCTGCACTCATTCTTTCCTCTGGATTTTCATCTAGACAAAGGGCAATAATTTCCTTTAATAGTGAAGAATATTGTTTACCATCTAATCTTGGTGGTTTAGATTTGGTAATCAATTGCATTGCTCTAATTGCCTCTTTATCACAATATGGTGGGTTACCAGTGGCAATCTCATAGATGGTAATACCTAAAGACCAAATATCAGCTTTAACATCATAGGAGGTACCTTCCATGATAACTTCCGGGGCCATCCAATAAGGAGTACCAGCCATGGTATTTCTTCTTAAACTTGTTGAAGTTAACTGAGCGGCAACACCAAAATCACAGAGTTGAACTTTACCTTCATTTGTTATCAAGACGTTGGCAGCTTTTATATCTCTATGTATAACATTTTGCTTATGGATGTATTGTAATGCAATTAGCACTTCTCTAACTATAACACCAAGATAAGTTTCCTCTATTCTACCTGGTTTTAGCAAAGTTCTTAATGACCCACCAGCACAATAGTCCATAATGATCCATAATTTCGTGCCATTAAGGTAAGAGCCGTGATAGTGGGTTATATTGGGTATTTGTTTCAAATTTGATAAAAATTGGATTTCTTGTTGAACATCTTTAACTTCATCTTCTGAAGTGTCAAGATTAAGGACCTTGATTGCATAGACGTGTCTTGTGGCTCTATGGATCCCTTTATAGACGATACCAAATTTACCACGACCTATGACTTCAGTTCTTTTGTAGATCTGGCTAACGTTTGACATTTAATAGAGCTCTATTCTTTTTTTAGAACTTGTAGAAGGGAATGTATAATGAAAATGAATGATCTTTTGTGGGAGTGGTGGGAGATTTCGAATGATTGTTTGGAGTGGTTATAGACTAGATGGAAGGATATGGCTTTGAAGGGAATGCTTATAGTTGAAGTTGTTTTAGAATGAGGAGCACTTGAAGGTATCTGATATCTCTACAATTATTCAAATCTTACTAGAAACCCGTTTGATCTGTGCAGTGTTTTTTTCTTTTTGGATCGGTAGGGGCCGCGCTCAGAAAGAGTTACCCTCAGAAAACTAGACACGTGACCAAATATTTGGGATACTTAATTTGGAAGCTACTGTATTGGGAAAGGTTACATTTTGCTGGCCCCCAGATCATTCACCGGTAGAATCGGTTCTTCCTGGTTCCGCTTTCTCATCACAAAGCTCATCAAAATCAAGACTGAAGTGGCCTTCAAATCAACACATAAATACAGCATAAATTGAAAACATGATCCACTAGTCAACACTTTGAGCGAAATACCAATAGCAGATGTTTCACCCAAAGAATAACCATTTTTTCCATTTTTCTATGTCAAATTTGTAAATTGTTTTGTCCTCCATCTCCATATCAAAAAAAAAATAGGCGACGCGTTTGTCTCAGCTTCTCTCCTTCCGGGGCCTCTCCCTAGCGAGCCTACGCGCGTCTCGCTCTAGGCAGAGATCAAGCCCACCCGAGCCCACCACCGCCCAGCTTAACTCCTTTCTGCGGCAAGAGTTAAAATTTTATCAAAGGGACCTTTCTGAGATCATCGAAACCCTATTACAATTTGATCTGGATACTCTTGAGCTGACTACAGTTCACTTTTACTTCCCTCCTCAAGCCAATTTACTTACAACCTACCCATACTAAACTGTCCTAGTACAACCATCCAATTCAAGCGTACCATTAAAAGCAGCCAAAGCAGCCTCATCATCATCATCGGCTCGTACTTTTTTTTTCATTTTCCCATTGTGTCGATTTTTTTTTCCCTCTATCAATTTATTTGAAGGCAAATTTTTTTGATCTTTAGAAAAACTACATTCAACACTTTTTGAAAAGAACAACGTCAACAACAAAAGAGAAAAACATATTCCTTTTTCCAATTCATCTCTTGTCATTAGTTTCTTCTGTTTGTTCTTGGTTTTCTTTGCACCCAGTTGGTTTCCCTTCTTCATTCTGTTTCCCATTTGCTTTCATTGTTTAAATTTGTTTCATTTGCAAATCATCTCCTGCTTTTACACTAGAGTCTAGGGATCATACTTTTCAATTCACAAGATATACAACAAGTTCTTTTAAAAGTCATATATTTTATTTGTTTTCAATCATTTATACCATCATTAGCATATTTTTCCCCTATTAGGCGTTTTTCATACACTTTTTTCCAGTTTTACTTAGTTGCCTAAATTTGTGTTCTTTTACCAATTAATCATCAATATCTTCTTCATTCACCATGTCATTTATGAACAACAACGGTTTCCAATCTTCTGCAAACCCATTATATCAACAATTTCAACCTCAACAATCCCAAGGTTATCAACGGACTGGTTCTGGTTCGGCTCCTGTCTCTAACGGTACTTCCGCCCAATTATGGATGGGTGAATTAGATCCATGGTGGGATGAAAATGCAATCAAATCAATTTGGGGCTCTTTTGGATTCAATAACGTTAATGTTAAGTTGATCAAAGAGAAAATCCAACAAGGTTATAATGCTGGTTATTGTTTTATTGAATTTCCTACCTTGGAATTGGCCTCAAGTGCATTATCTTCAAATGGTTCCAAAATCCCAAATACTAATAAATCATTGAAATTAAACTGGGCAAGTGGAGGTAACGCTTCCCAACCTATTACTAATGGTCAACAATCAATGGGTAATGGTTCTCGCTCTGGTGAAGTTTCAATTTTTGTTGGTGATTTAGCTCCAGATGTTACTGATACTGTTTTATATGAATATTTCGGTACAAAGTATAGTTCAGTCTCTGGTACAAAGATCATGATTGATCAACAAACAGGTGGCTCAAAAGGTTATGGGTTTGTCAGATTCTTGAATGAGTTGGAACAACAAAGAGCTCTGGTTGAAATGCAAGGTGCTATTTTGAACGGTAGACCAATTAGAGTCTCTACAGCTGTTCCAAAGAATAGACAACAAGGTGGTCAACAAATGGGTGGTATGAGACAACCATTCCATCAACAACAACCACAATTACAATCCCAACAATCTTTGAATTCAATCCCACAAAATGCTCAATCTCAACAAATTCTAAACAGTTTTGATTCTCAATATCAACCACCATTAACTCAATTCACTGACCCAAACAACACTACTGTTTTCATTGGTGGGTTATCTTCAATGGTTACTGAAGATGAATTAAGACTGTATTTCCAACCATTTGGTGATATTACTTATGTCAAAATTCCAATTGGTAAAGGTTGTGGATTTGTTCAATACGTTACAAGAGCAAGTGCAGAACTAGCTATTAGTAAGATGCAAGGCTACCCAATTGGTAATTCAAGAATTAGATTAAGCTGGGGAAGATCAAATTCAAATCCAAAACCTCAAGCTTATCAAAAACAACCAGAATTACCTTTATTATATGGTTATCCTTCCACTAATCAACCAATTCAACAATCTCAACAACAACAATCAACTCAATTTAATCCATTCCAGCAAAGCCCATTCGGTATAAACTCTTCAACTTCTTCAATCCCAAGTTTTGGAGTTTCTCAAATCCAAGATCAAAACCAATTTAATCAAGAATTAAGTGAACCAATCCCAGACCAATCAAGATTGAACGAATTGTACTTAGCTGCAAAAGATGGTAGATTAGATGCAATTGACGCAAATTCTAATGGTTACATCTTTGCATGAGATTTTGTTGACTGCTTTTATTTTCTTTTTGGTTAGTACCGTTTTTTGCACACATACTATTTTTAATCATTATCATTTTACTATACTCATGAATGCTTGTTTGTCCTTCCTCTTTTTTATGGTTGTTTTGTCAGTTTATAATTTATGCAAGTTGTTATTTTGAACTTTTTTTTTGGTCTCAATTCATGGATTGATTCCCAATACTTTTTTGTTCTGTGTTATCTTATGGTTATTCTATTTTACATTGGATTTTTGTTTATATTACTTATCAGATATTTCCCTTACTAATGAAACATATTTCTTTTTATTTTTTTTGTTATAACAAACTTTGTGTCCCTTTTTTTTTATTTCATGTTGTGCTCAAGTCTTCCATATATATATACTATTTTGTCCATATTTTTCAGTCGAAGTTGTTTCATTTATACATACGCATTATAATATTAGTTTGTCCTGTAGATTACCAAGGTTGTTGCGGTTCTTTGAAGTATTATCGCCTTTTGATATATTTCTTAGTCATTCTACTACGGGATCTACGTCTCTTCCTCTCAGGTGTGATCAACTGTGTTTAATAAATATGAATAAATAGGGTTTTTCAATAAATAAGAATAAATAAATAAATAATAAATCAATAGACTCTAATAAGCAGTCTTATCAACTCTAGCACCTAACAATTCAGCTTCCTCTGAATTTCTAGCACCCAAAGCTTTTGATAATCCATCATGGGGATAATTTCTTGGAACTGCAATACGTTTTGGATAGAAAAACGTATAACAAACACCAAAAATACCAGCAACACCTAAAAAGAAATAACTAACTAATTTAAAAGCTTCACCATCAGAAACATATTGATAATATTCTGGTGACCATAAATTCAAAACATCTTCATCTTCATGAAGTGGTTCATTAATATTTCTTCTGTTTTGAACATCATCCCAATCTCCGTATGGATCCCTATTATAGTACAGCTCAGGTTTAACATCTGGATACGAAGTTGGAATCTCATCTTGTGGTTCAATTTTTGGAGTTGGATCTTCATTCAATGCTATTTTGGTTTGCAAGTTGAATCTTGTTGTTGTCAATGCCCTCTTGGAAAGAATTGAAACTGGTCTCAATCTTAAGGCTGGATTTATTCTAAGCATTTTGGTAATCATTTTGATACCACAAAGCAAAGTGTACAGTGTAAATGCTTGTTGATATTGTCGTTCTCCCTTAATAGAAATCCTTTTTTTTGACGAGCTTCACCAGTATCTGAATTCGCGAATTTGCTGACTCATCACAACTCACTGTCATTTTAATAAGTGTCACTATGAACTACAAGTTATCAAATTACAACACATAATCAGCTCAAGAAGATTCATATATACAAGTTTAATATTTTTTATTACCCATGTCCGCATCTAAACCAAATTTTTCCATTACCCGTTGATCAGTTTTAGGAAATGGATCATTTTCAACATTATATGTTTTTGGAGCTCTCACTGTTTCACTAGATGAATATGAGTTCACACCTGGTAATTTTAAAGACGAATTTGGGACTATTATATTACCTAGGTCCGGCTTTAAAGCACTCCATAAGCGTGGAGCTCTTTTTTTGGCGGAAAATCTAGGGGTTGACTTCTTGTCATTGACCAATTCTTGATAAACTGGACTATTTTTCAATAATTCTTGAGGTGACCCAATCAACTTCTTACCACCCAAAATAGCTTCTCTATCTTGCCTGTGATATGCATATCTCAATTTCAACGCCCGACCTTTTAATTGACAACCATGAAGAGTTTTAAGAGCTCTTTTTGCAGAGCTAGGTTTTTCAAATGTAACATGAGCAAACGTTGTTCCTTTTCCTTGTTTTCTAACAGATACAATTTCCCCAAATTTCTTAAAAAGATCTCTGACATGAAGTTCATTAAACATAGTAGGTAATGAAGTCACATATAAAGTCGTAGAAACTGGTTGATCTATAGGGTTCATCATTTTGTTAACTTTTTCTAATCTGTTAGAATCGAACAAAAATGAAAGGTTACCAACCTTTTTATGATCTTCTATTGTCTCCTCTAAGGTATACCTTATAGTTAGGACGTGGCCAGGTACAGCTGGTTTACCATCAAATCTCTCAGTACATCGACTTGCTGCACTCGTTCTTGTAAATCTCACTAGTGCTATTCCTGTACTATCGAACCCAGTGTAGCATGTTATGTCTCTGAGTACTCTAACAAACTTGACATATTTTAGCCTTGATCTGAAAAAGTACTCAACTTGTTTTTTGGAATAATTTCTTGGGAATCCTGCTGCAAATATAACTTTTCTCACGACTGATCTCTTTTGTGTAATCTGAGGCGTCAAGTTTTTGAAATTTGCGACGCAAGATGGGAATATGGCGGTTGTAGCATGCCGTATTGATGACCTTGGAGCACTTGCACAAAGCATGGCCGTTAGTGGATCATAAAATATCGCTGGATAAATTTGAACATGTTTTTTGATTTTTTCCTTTAACCTTGCAAAATGTCAGATTTGCAAATCCATTTCGCGATTTAATCCTTCATCTTGACGCTTTCTCGTTTAGCTCTCAAGAGTCAAGACTTTTAACGAAGAGTTTGATTGCATAGCACTCAATTGGCTTTAAGCTATAATGGCAGACTTTTGATGCTTAGAATCCTCTTTTTTTTGTTACAGCTTATTGTGAATGAGGATGAAACTGGAATCAGTCGAGACTTGAGCCTCATCGGGCTACATTGGTTGGTTTTGAATAAGGAAACAAAAAGTTGCAAAATCAGATTCAGCCAAACCATCCACTAAAACCTTCTTCTCATCAACAATACAAACATCTTCCACATTAACGCATACCTCATGGAACATTCCCCAAAACATCAGCTCGATGAGGTTCACTTGCCCGTGTGTTGGCCCTTCCCAATAATTTTCCTCATTTCAAAAAATTTTGAACCTTTTTTTTTTTTTTGCCTTCGAAATCGAAAATTCCTTGATCTTTTTTTTTTCGCGACTTTTACCAAAAGGACATTCAGCGCCCAAGAAGCTCAAGTTCAAACTCAGTTCAAAACTTATCAATTGACCACTATAACTACCTTCCATTGTGATTAGTGCAGGCGCCATTTTCTTGTATATATACCTGGGAGATTGATCCACCAAAAAACCTGCTGCTTTATTCAAGTTGTTGGAGTCCTGAATTCGGGATTAAATTGTACCATAACAACAACAAAACCAGTTTCATCAACAATACCTTCATTTCTTGAAAGACTGGCCAGATAAAAAGCCTATCACGGAAGTGCGTTGAAGACCGAATATGTCAAGAGTATCAACTCCTGGCTCAAGACGCACTAATGCCAAAAGTCGTCGACACAGTGAGCTTGTTGATAGCTCCACTGAAATCAATGATAATGAAGAAGCACATAATGAATCTGAAGAATCTCCGGATCCAAAGAGAAGGAGAAGCACAAGGAATAGTGAGATCAATTACTCGTTAACCAAAAGGAATGCTAGATCGAACGGCAAATCTCATATCAAAGCTGAAAATCAGCCCGAAGAAGAGATAATAGTGAAGAAAACAAAGGATGCTACGCTTATTGAAGATACAAAAAAATTGGAAAGGCACCGTTCTGAAGAATCCAATCTATCTCAAGTTGATAAACTAGGGAAATTAGCTGCAAAACACTCACTTTTGACTCAAGAACTCTTTCATCTACAGCAATTTACATCATTAGCATCATGGGATCCCACAGCTCCTCCACCAAAGTATTACCAAGATTTTGTTGAAGAAAATTATAATTTAT